GGGGAGAACCCCGCCGTTCAAGGACCCCGAAACCCCGGGGTCCCCACACCCCCGATACCCGGGGGCCTCGCAGAGTATATGGGCCCCACGGGGTCCCGGGCCCCAGGGGGTCCCAGCCCAAGCCAGGAGAGACGGGGACGGCGCCCCCTGAACCCTACCGCCCCCGAGTTTGTCTCCCAGCCCGCAGGTACCCAGGGCCGGAGGGAACCATTGGAGTGGAGAAGGAGACCGCCGCCGGAACCCCGAGAGACGGAGCCACCACCGCCGAGACCAGGCACGAGAGCCGGGCGAGTCCCGCGGACCCCGCGGTGCTACCTTGTAGGGGCAACCCAGGCGAGGTGCTCTGGTCAACCAGGGACGGGGACTGGCACCTCGGGGGGCTGTGTGGTGCCGCCGCAGCGGAGCCGCTCCAGCGGAACCGTGCCCACCACCGCGACGCCGTCACCGATGCCTCGGATTTTCCGCCACTGTCCCGGGGCCGGTGCCTTCTTAGACGTCCGCGTTTTGCCCACTGCACAGTCGTGAGGCCGCCGCAGCAGAGCCGCTCTGCCGAGGTCGTGCCCACCGCCGCGAAGCCGCCACCGGGGGATGCCGACGGCGATGCGGTGCACCCTCGCCACCCACCCCCACCCCCCCCCCCCCCCCCCGCACGAACGCACACACGCCCCACGTAGAGCCGGGAGGGGAGGTCACCCGGCCGATAGGTTTTTGTCCAGAAGTCCCTAGTGGGATCGAACTTCATGGTTTCCTGCGGCCGGGAAATTGGGCGATCTTCCCCCTGTAGCTGACATGCACTGCGGCACCACGACCTAATATTAAAGTTGCATGGTCACAGCAAGGGCCATCGAGCCACCGCGAGTGGAACCACACACGCACAAGCACGGGTCAGTGGACTGGTAGCGGGAAAACAGAGAGCGGACGTCGGTGAGATCACTGTGGCGACGTCACCTGAGCTGGGATCCGGGTATCGAAATGGCGGGAAAATCTGAGCCCCTGATTGGACGGGAGGCCAAGAGACCGAAACGGCGAAATTCCTTTGTTGTAGGTAGGATAAAGGGAGGGGGATTCAAGTAGCAAGTCAGTTCTTCTTCAAGATCATCGCGGTTCCAGGAGCAGCAGAGTCAGCCGTCTGAGACGTCCGTGAGACGTACTCCAGCACCGCCAGGCTCGCCCCTTTACAGAGACAACTCGCCGCCTCGTCCCCTTACAGCGGTCAGCACAGCAGGGTGGAAGTAAGTGCGAGGGAGAGAGGCGTAAGTTTAAGCGTTTTAAATCCAGGGTAGAGAGCGGGGCGATCGGTAGGAGAAATTGAATCGAAGACCTCCGAGGGATAGACTAGCGTCCACTGACCCATACCATCACACGTAGATAAAATTGGTTACTCGAGGTAAATAAAATTCGCTAGTGGGGGGATAAAACTGTGTTGTGTGGTCTTTTGGGAGCGTGAAGTGGAGGGCAGAGTGTGCTGGGTGTCTACGTGTATGCGCGGCTGTTCACCTCGAGACAAAGTGTGCGGTGTTTACGTACCCGCACGATTGTTTACAGTAGCGCGTAGCGCTCGCATACCGGTGTGACGGCGTTGCGATCGCGCACCCGTGCAATTGTGTACTTGACTGTGCGGCGCGTACGGGCATACGTGGCGACTTTCGGTGGTGCCCAGTGCTCGTGTACCCGTGATATCGCTCACAATAGTGCTTAGCGATCGCGTACCTGTGTGGCTGTGTTGCGGTCACGCACCGGCACAATTGTCTAATCGCGAAGTAGCGAGTTAAAGCGCCGAGCGCACGCGTATTCGCGCAACTGTTTGAGCGGTCCCGTCCACTCAGAGCTGAGCGACCCTCCCCAATCAGCGGCGCGCGCACGGCAAACGTCCCGCCCGCCCATCCCTCGGCTCCAACCCCGTTGCATGCGATTGGTGTACGGGGCTGGGCAGAGGGTAGGGGCGTGTTTGTTATTATCGGAACACGTGGAGCGCTGGTGGGAGGGAAACACGCGCCGCGCCTGTTTGTTTACGGGCGGGACGGAGATTTTACTGTCGAGTGCGCTTACAGCGGCATGCCGCCTCTGAACGGAAAAGCGCACCGCGAGCGTAAAAACAGACCACTGCGTCAATCGAAACATGGTGACGCGGGCAGCCGCCAAGTCGGGGGTGCAAGTTGGCGAGGAATTGGGGGTCGGTATCCCGGACCCCACAGACCAGCCGGGGGGTAGTGGGACGAGTGTTATGGGGGAGTCGGAGAGCAATGGTCCCGACAATATGGTGATGGCGGGGGACGGTAGCCCCCACACTAGTGACTGGCGAGTGTTCAGTGAGTCGTGAGAACGGGAGTCGGTAGCGTCTAGAAAGTGGTGAGTGTGAAGTGAGCGATGCATGTCTGTTTCTTGTGTCGGGTGAGTTGCAGGTTAGTGGTGTCTGAAGGTCAGCCGAGTAGAGATGGTTATGCGAGTCGCATGTACTGTATGTTGAACTTTTTTGCACCATACATAGCCTAGCAGTGCCTGGTGAATGAGTACTGTAGCGTGTCGAGTGAGTTCAAGATGAGTGGTGAGTAAAGAGTGTTTGGTGAATCGTTGCTTTTTGTTAGGTGTCTGGTGAATGTGCACTAACGTTCACTATAGTAGTTTACATAAACCATAATGTTGTTTGCATTTTTTCTTTTATTTTTCACCAACCAAAACTATACACCAGCAGATTAGAAATGTATCGAGCTTAATGCAGTATGACGAATTCAGAAAACACGTCAGATGCATGAATCATTGAAAAATAAATTTTATTTACAATGCTGTATCACCCTGACTCGACTTTCTTTCCCCAATACAGAAGTATATCTCGTGATCCAATCCAAACTCAATTGATATTGGAAGAAATTGCACAATTGCTACCTTTCTTTGACCTGTATATTAAAGCCTCAATGACATTAATTAAAAGTAATGTAAGTTCCTGGATATGTAGGGGCTGTACATGTGCAACAAAGAAAACATTTAATGGTGGTCTAATAGTCCGGTGAGCTTGCAACTCCAACTGTTGCTTGGGAATATATAATTTGTAAACTGAATGGATGATGTTTAAATTTAGCATTTTTCATCAGGCGAAGAGTTAGTGTATATGCAATATTGTTGAACAATGTCTTCACAAAAGTAAAGGATTTTAACTTGGTATGCAAAGTGTAATGTGATGATGGATCTTCAATTTAAAAGATGTTTTAAAATAGTATTTTCAGTACTGGATGTACAATACACATGTTGGTATTCCAAAAAAATATTTTGTCGTCAAAATAGAGAACTGTTCATCATCTGATCTAAATGCCATATTGTGACAGTGTCATTACCACTAATAACATGTCTGGCATGACCACACAAACTCACTGAATAGATCCACCCATCCTATGCCCACAGGCCCAATTCCACATTAAACAGGCCATACCCATAGCAAGCAACTGTAATTCTCGGGTTAGTGGAAGCATCCATATAAAGAGCGTAATGCTTTAAGCCTGTGGCTTCTTGAATGCGGCAATTGTGGCATTGACTCCGCTGTTGACGCTCTGCTCTCCTTCGGCGAGCTTCGGGGCTTCACGGTACACGCTCATGACCTGCGAGAGAAATGGGGAATGGGTGGTGTTTGAACGTCAGTACCTACAGATACACGAACATGATAGCAATTATACCTGGCCGATACCAGCCACACCGAGTCTACATGCCACCTTTGCATTGTCATCGATAAAGATAAATAGGTCATCACACTGAGCCATCGCATCTTCTATTGTAGTCAACACCTGACTCATCTTGTGGTTACATTTTCCATTTGGTTTTTGACCACTAGGTTCCACTGTCAATGCTTGTCATGGTAACATGTCCATTTCAATCCTCCACACATGCCCCATCCATACAACCTTTCCCTGACTATGCACCTACTTTGATATTTACAACAATATAAACATTGACAATGATATTGCCATTGAGAAGAGCAATAACAATAATGATATTGATAGTGACGAGCTATTGAAAATGTTTTTGACTGTATAATTTTACTACAATATTGATGTTGACATTGACAGCCTCGGCACTCACAGCGCTGATCCAGCTGTTGTAGGCTGACACGCGGGTGAACACGGTGGGCTTGCGGATCGTGTTGCAGCCCAGAGATGAGACGTAGCTGGCGATTCCCTGCACCACCCAGGCATTGTCCCACCGCTGGCAGTTCAGTGGGCCACCTCCATCACCCTGCGATGCAAAGCAGAGGATAGACATGCATCCACGTTAACTCTGGGTAAAGCAGAAACTTGATATGGTGGCAGGTGCTGGCAAGGGTAAGTAGAAGAGCTTGGGGCTCTTGTATCGGTATCTGGATGAGAAAATTTAGCAAGTGTGCTTTCGGACCGTGTTGCTAAGTAACGGAGTAATATCGCACAACCCCAAGGCCTGATCCTTCTCAAAACACCTTGTTGTGTCTTGCCCCGCACTACTCTGGTAGCTATACACAGGTGGCAGGGTCTGGAACAGTAAAAATATGACAAGTGACGACTTAATACGTACCCTATTGGTTCTGGCGTTAATTTGGTCACCATTTATATTTTCTTGTTTGTTATTTATTGATTTAATGCAGTCATGCATTCACTTACTCTGTGAAATTTTAGTCAAATCTTAGTATCCGTGGGTTTCATTTAGTAATTCTCTTAGACGAGGCGATTAAAGCAGTCACACTACTTGTCGACTCGAGTTATTAAATGGGTTGAATGTGCGCCCCTTTCGCTCCCACAACATTACCAGTTCAGCCAATCAGTGATGTCAGTGGTCACAGCCATCGCCACGCTTGGTGATTGTTGTTCACTCACAGTTACTGTTGACTAAATGAAGATATAAAAGAAACATTTTGCTGACAACTATTCTCATTAGCAATTGACGCGGGTTGTCTCGCGTTGTGCTCCGTACGCACATAGCACGCAGAGCGGGTGCTGCCCCCCGCGCAGATCACGCTGCTCCTCAGGCTGCTCCCCCACCAGCTGGGCTGGCTGCACGTCGCGTAGTCCACCACGGGCAGGCTGGCCTGCTGCAGGGCGCTGGGGAAGGGGCCGCTGGCTGCTCACGCGCACAGACAACGTGGAGACGGAGAGCGTTGGTGAGAAGGCATCGGGGTTAAGTGACGTTAACAGGCGCTCCCCAGCGAACTGTCCGACTCTCAGTGCTCAAAGGAGAAAAGCAACGTAGCAACACCGCCACGCTGTTGGCATCATTACATCCACGTGTAGGTGGGTGCTGAATTCACCTTCTGGTGGACAGGGACAGCTGCCAATGGGGTCCCCTTTGGCGAGGTTGCCGCATGGGTGCCTCAATATACATGGAATTTGATGCAAAGTGTCCATAGCTCTGCCCCCTCTTGTGTTTAATGCACACCGAGTGAACGGTACTCACTGTCGAGGGATCCCCAGCCCGTGGCGTAGCACGGGTAGTTGTTGGGCAGGATCTGGTTGGCGCTGGGCAGGCAGGCGAGGCGCACCTTGCTGGAGAGAGCCACGGGCGATGCAATCTTGAACATGGCGATGTCGTACCTGTGGTGGATTGAGACCAGGGGCAGCCGTGATGCGACGCTCAACAAGGAACATAACAACAAACATTGGGGGTTCAGCGCTAGGAGATCAATATTGCAGATCCTATTATCTGCTATTATACTCCAATGATTTATGGGGGGAAATGACAGATAATAAGAAGAATTGGACCACATGTAATAGGAGATTGTGTGGACGCCACATCTCCCACAGATAAGTATGCCGGTCATCAATATGAGGATTTCTGTATATTCCAGTTATTGGATTATCAGAAGCATTGTATGAGATGAAGCAATAGCATTGTGTAGCATCTGTCTGTCTCTTTGTCAAACAAAGAATGGGCATGTGCTGGAAACAGTGTACGAGTACAAATCAAGACAACTCATCGCCTTGCCATTAACACTGCCTTCTATAATATAATACAATTCTACTGTTTACAAATGATCCTTAACTGACATATGATATTCAAATTATGCGTTCTTTCGTTTTACGGCAGTGTCCATGATAATCTTTGTTTGTTTAAAAATAATCTGTCTTTTGTCTGTTGGAATGTCTCTATGAATGTTTGTCTGCATGTATGTTTATCTGTCGATTGCAACTCTGAATGTCACGGTGTCACTTAACTAGCGCGTCCGTGTGCGTTCTCACCCGTTCGCCGGCATGCTGGGATTCCAGTAGCTATGCCAGACGGCCAGGCTCAATGGAGGGGTGACCTCCCCGAACTCGGATGTGGACACACTGTGCTTTCCCAGCACCACCCTGTAGCTGTAGCCACTCCTGCACGTTGTGGTGGATGTGGGGAGATAACAGAGCAACGGACGGTCGTAATCACTTACACCTGTAAACATTGCAGTGAGGAATGAATAAACAGTAATGATGCGAGTTACTGCATGGTATTCTCACTGCCACATTGCGGCATTGTGTAAAGGTCATTTATACAAGCTGCCTCCTTGCTCCCAAGATACACTGTTCCACCCTTGGTGGCCACAATGTGGTACAGGAAAATACTGTACAACACCTGGGCCCCGGTGCAGTTGCACCGCCTGCACACATACTAGCGACTCCACTGGCGCCATGACTCACGTGAAGCAGCTCGCAGAGGTGAGCACCCATTGACTATCAATGAGGGTTCCTCCACAGTAGTTGACCCATCTTCCTCCAGAGTACCTCTGCACGAGCGCCTGCAATGCACACAAAGCGAGGCGGTGGTGATTACGGTGTTTTTTTCGGAATCTGTCCAATTTTAATATCGAATAATACAGTACTAACTTTGCCCTTTTGTCAATCGACTGCCTCACAAATGCTTGCCAGAGCTGGTTGTGAAGAAATTTTACCTGGGACTAGTTAGGATTTCACTCACAACTGACGTTAGCAGTCGCTGGGAATGTAACCCATGCAGCCTGGTTCGTCGTGCATTGCGTAAAACACTGCGCTTCCACTCTCCCATTATACATTGACTCATTCAATGTCTTTGGGAAGAATGGAAGATCTGAACATGTCATGTTGCACACATGCAGCCCTTTTGTCAATCCACTGCTGGATGAGGGCCTCCACGTGGCGTGTACAACAATGGATGCTGCTGCACTGTGATCGACTGACAATGCAGCGTGTGGCTGTGATGGCTGTTATTCAGCCTCTCCCGTTACCTGCCAAGGCCAGGAGTTGGCACGAGCCTCCACGCCGTTCACCACGCGGATCTGGGGATACGCTGCGATCCCACAGCTCTGAGCAGACACCTCAGCTGTAAGGGACAATAGCATACACGCACAATACTATACACAATAGCACACACGCACACAATAGCACAAACACCATGCCACACGCATCTCCCTGATGTGTTTTTGGTTTGTACCTTGTACTGTTCTGCATGATGTCCGATCTTTCACTACACGTTACAAGAGCTTCTTTTACATATACTGTATTGATTTATTTAAAACCCGAAACCGCGATCATGACAGAGGGTATTTCAACGTACATGCAACGTTTGCATATCCAGGTTTTGTGCCCTCGGGGTATTTTTTTCTCCTCCACCAGGAGTTATTGAGGGAATATCGGGATCCTTTTATAACGCATGTGATATAAGCAAAATAGCGAGTGACGTGAAAAAGGAGATCAATTGGAGCCCAGATCCGCCCATTCCCCTCCTAGGAATTACTCTCATTCATAGCATATTGAAAATAATGTGAGGCCTGTGGCATGCTCCCCCACCTCCTCACCATTTCCCCTGGTTCCCCTGTTCGGGTTCATGATCGTCTTGCCATCAGGTGATCCGTGTTATTTAGGATTATAAACTAAGGTGCTCCATTGCGACTATAGTGTATGATGATCGACTCCAATGTCTCCAGGAAGGGAGTTTGGGGTCCTTCCAATTATCTAAGATAGTTTTCCTCGCCATGGTATTAAAGGCTTGGGGTCACGTTTTCTGATGTTTGGATATTACCGCAAGTTTCAGGCCCAACAGGGGGGAATCCATGGAGGGCCCAACATTCGTGCCACAGATAATATTAAAGTATTTGGCAATGTGCTGGAAAGAATTTAGCGATATCCGGGCACAGTCAAAAGGCATGTAGGTATGTCTGGTGCCAGGAGCTTCTTCTAGAACTCAGTCCAGTTCCTGAAGAAAATGGAATGGTTGCTACACTTAATCAATGCGTGCATTCCAATCACTCAGCAGCTCAAGGTGTCAGAAAGAGGAGCACTCACCTCCAACCAGCAGGGCAGCGCAGACAAGAAAGGCGAGCATGGTTGATCGATGGCTCTCCAATTTGCTGGAGATTGAGCTTCTCGATCACGAGTGAATCCTCTCCACTGCCGTGTCTCACAGTTGGGATCTTTTGGCTTTTATACAGAATATGCTGCACACGTGAGACCTCTAAAAGCAAACAGAATAGGGAAGTCCAACTAGCGAACACATCCGTATGCAAATGTAAGGTTGATTTATTCCACATAAAGACGTTGCAGTATCTCTACTGTCAGTTGGTGGGAAGTGGTGGACTATTCATGTTTTATTTTTCGAGGGCTTTCAACATTGTGTTGGAAACGTACACATCTATCCAATGTTGTGTCGTTATGCAAACACAGATTACATCCTGGTTGGTATTTGACTGCGCCTATTATTTCCAACTGGTTAATAAAATGCGTAATGTACCTCTTTCTGATAATTTAATGGTGGTAGTTGTACAGGGATACTGTCTCCCACCATAAGTGTGGGCAATCGTCACCACTGGCTTCTGGCCACCACCGAAGTGAACACTGCCCAACAGTGCTTGAACAGGGAGACACTTACCTGGCTTTCAATTTTAAATGTCATTCTGTTCACCTTATTTGAAGGGCATTTGGTAATTTTTATTTTCTTTTTCAATTAAAACGGGTACAAAATGTAGTTGTTATGTTAAACTGTTTTAAAAGAGAACAGAGAAGATGCGTTCATTAGACTAAATATTGTCTTTGGGATATACCTGGACCTTTTTAACCTTTTTGTTTGCCTTTTAAGCTTGACGTTCTCGAGTGGAATGTGTGTGGACCTGTAGATATTTGAGAATCTTCCACACGTGATGCGATCCAAAGTGGCCAGGAGATGTCCATTAGTGGAGAGCATCGAGCTTTGTCCCACATTCCTACGTGCTGCTTTGCTTCTGGTTCTCGGGTTTCCTTCCAACACACCAAGCACTCATTAAAGGATTTGGTGAAACATCCCAATCGAGCGTTTTCCACTTCTTCACTCAAGAAAAGCCGCTGCAAGCAGATGTTGCTCTGCATATTCCAAAGAACTGAAATTCGACTGTGTGCAGCGCACACATCCGTGACCCCGTGACCTCATGTGGTATACCGGCATTGGGTTTCTCCAAGCGGAGCGGTGCACAAACAAGCCACACGCTCTACACCTCTTCATTCCCCACACCGCACGAGTCTGCCAGGAGTTGTGCTCAACATTTGTGCGCCAATTCCAGAATGATGTAAAGGGAGTCCCTGGGTTACGGAAGGTTTAGGTTCCTGAGAACGATCCGTCCGCTGAATGTTCCATATGTCAGCAACTGAACAATTTCCCCCCAAAATCAGGATTAAATCCCATAACCGGATATAGTTGTGCCTCCCCTACCCGATTACTAGGTTCGTTTTCTCTCAGTATTTCACTTGGGTGTGGAAATAGTTAAAGGATTTTAATTGTACTGTGATGCGTGCATGTATATAACATTTGCTATACATGCAAGATAAGAAATGTGCTATTATATTCAAAAGTAGAACATATGGCACGGTTTCATGACAAAAAATGCAAATATATATTAATTGTGCGTAGTGTATTATCACGACTAATTGGCTGTGTTGGGTGGTGGCGGGTTTAACGGCACATTTATATTTACGCGATCTAAACCAATAAAACCTCTTTTACGGATAATATTGGTCGCCAAAGCCTACGTGTTAAAGATGATGTGTATAAACCTGTAAAAGCAACAGGCCAGGAATGCACACATTTGCTAAATAATGCACGAACAATGATAATAACGTGCTAAATTAGGATATTGGCTCCTGGATTAACAGAAGAATGCTGTCATGTGATTACCCCAAAAAAGGTAGTACAACATACATCGGTTTGTTCATGCGTGAGACTCATATAGAGAGATAAACTAAGGCAACTTAAATATTCTCGGGATTCACTATCCATGCCTGAGTCACAAAGGCAGTGGGAAAGCCTTGGGGAACAGCTGTTAAACAACAGCGCAAGCTGTAATCGTGTTGCCGCCAGAGGGCAGCACAGACAAACGGCTGTGGCTAAACAGCCACGTGGTTGCGATTTAAAGGCAAAAATCGCCATCTAATTAATGTGTATTTTGTTTGGCTCAAATCGCGAGAGCACATTGCTAATATATACCTTACACCCTTCTCAACCCGAAACAATTCGAAAAAGTTAAATCAGGTGAACAAGCACGCAGATGTTTATTACTGCAGCACACCGGTATGCTGAAGAGCAATGCACAACATTTAACAATTATATTCGACGTTTTCGCTGATAATCACATCCAGCATCACCGGGTGATCCTCAGAGTTTAACTCCTGCAGGAGATGATGATTGCCAGAGTTTAACTATTTGTTTCCAGCCTGCTTTCAAGTTTCTGTGGTGTTGCGATTTCTCGTCATTTGCAGGATTTAACTATTAAAGTTTGTTTGTCCACGTTACCATGTAAGGAGTTGGAAACGATGAGGAGTAATGTTGATAAGTTTACTCCTGAGAGCGATATTTACACGTTGTGTAGGCACATAATGGCCCGGCTGGATCACACGGAGCTTTGGTCGTACAAAATTTGTCAAAAGAGCGGAATTCGTATTCAAAGGTGCAGGAAATAAAATGAGTGCACAAATAACGAAGGAAGAATTAGACACAGACACATGCCCTTTTTATCTGCGCAAGACGTACGCGAGTTGACAGTTTGTCATGACATTCGCAAGAAAATACGTCCTTCATTCATCATGCATAGTCAGCGAAGGACCGTTGTGCCAAACGTGTGACCCGTTGCGACAACATTCACATTAACTGCTCTTGCTAAAACACACTGGCGTCTCAAGTGATTTGTTTGATCCACGTATCACGGGGGCGACCACGGGGGTGGCGCCATGCGTTTGAGGGTCGCAATCCACTTCGAATGTCGACCGCCAACCGCCAACCGCCAACTTAAGTGCGCTATTTGCTGGAGATTGCGTGTTAAGACGGGGCGACGTGTCCATAAAGTAACATCCGTCTCCATCGAACGAAGCTCGCAATCGATAGGAGACCAGTCGCAGATACAATGGTGACATTTCTGACATAGTCGAACCATCGGGAGCCAAGAAGGCATCTTTGGCATCGCATACGGAAGGACTACAACCAATCCAAATCAGCTTGCACCTGCACAAAGAAAAAAAAGCGTATATTTAAGATCATGACAACATAATTGCCACCTTTAAAGCTAAACATAATTGTTGTCGTGTAATATCATTTAAATAAAAAACAATATAGAGGTGTAAAAAGCAATGTTAAATTTTCTCTTACAATTAATTTGAATGGTAATTTATTTAAAATATTCACAACTCTTCTTTATGATCTGCCCAAGTGTAAGTCACAATGTTACGGCTACTTCTGCTCCCTCATATACCAACACTGGTTTTCCCCTTAAATGAACATTTATCTGTTTAACATATTCAGAGAGCGAAGACAACTCGGTGGCTACCACGGTAACTACATTTCAAGTGCTTGTCGAGCACATGAAAGCACATTGCGTACAGAACACACAGTTCCTGACAGCAGGGCAACGAGTGTGTTCAATGGCATTTGATACGCCATGTAGACTCATTCAATTTAGATAGGCAAACGCCAATACACATCAGGACATGCCAGCATCTCAGAGAAATGCTTCCTGCATGCAAACTATCCTTGGAAATAAAAAAAATATTCCTCCAGCCCTGGCAATGTCAATGGTTTATACACGGAACTTGAAGCAATTGCCAATGTTTGCATCGCTCATATAGTTTCTGCTACGAATAATAAATAACTCAGATGTGCGAGCAAATAGATTTGTAATCACTTTTATAATTTGATCATTTACATGATGCAGGTCAGTGAGTCTTATCTGAGTTTCCGAGTTGATGTGGCGGGTGGGGGAAGGGATACTATCATCCTCGTTTTTACCACTCACGTTATTTCATTTTACTTAACACAGGTAAAAGGATGCACTCATCACTGCATCCACACATAAATGCATCTTCTGGAATAGGTTGGATTTGGTTCTAGTTTGACATATTGTTAATGTGTCATATAACCTATTGACACTCGGACAAACTCTAGTCTACCCAGTCGTTAAGCTCATTAAGCCATGTCCACGAGAATGGCATTTTGCAAGGGACTTGTCGATGCAGTAATGCTGATATAATTAGCAATAATTTGTGTTAACTTTAAAGCTGCTTTATGTCATCCTTGTGCACGAGCCTTGAGTATTGGCAACAATAAACACTGCATAGATACCCAATGCAGAGTCGGACACGAGTGCTCATGGGGCTCTCAGAGTTCCAGTTTCTGAATTCAAAACTCAACAGATATCCATTTGTTGAGCGAACTGTCTGCGGGACCACCCACGCAGGTACCTTCATAGCGAGCGCTGTACACACATACAGCATTTCAGAGCCCTTCATTGTTTAAAAAAGGTTAAAAAAAAGTTTTATCAATGCACACACTTTTATTGGCACTCTAAAGTAAAAAAATATATTTTCACCAGGGAAAGTAATACAATTTGACGTGCTAAATAAAAATGGGTGGCTTGCATAAAGAAAATTATGGTAATCAACGTACATTATACATGCACCTTATGCATGCACATTGCTCTTGTACCCCCTTTAGTTTGCGCACACTAATATAGCAGTACCTGTCTGCTCAGATGTAATCCCCATCAACGTATGGTAACCTGGATAGGCATGCATTTAAACAATGCACTACGTCTGTAGCTATTCGAACGGTTAAATAACAAATTCCACTCAATTTCGATACATTCTCCAATTATTCTTAGCCAGTAGAAACTAATTTTGCACAGAACTTTAACATTATCAAAATAAATTGAGTGTCCTTGTTGGCACGCGTGTTCTGCCACTACCGACAGTTGTATTTGAGAGTATTTAATATTCCTTTGCTGTAATTTTAGTCTCGTGGTGATAATTCGTCCTGTCTGCCCAACATAGCATTTGCCACAAGTGCAATTCATCCGGTACATACCTTCTTTTGATAGCTTCGGTAATAGAGCTTTAGGACCAGATATTATTTTCTATATTTTATGTCCCATGTCAAATCTGATTCGGATGTTTTGTTTTTCCCAAAATCTGACTAGTTTATGAGTTACTCCTGCAGGGCATGGTTGGTGTATTTAATGTAGGTCAGTAATGTTTGTACAAACAATTATTATGATGTCCAAATCCTGTAGCTCGACTTTGGCTCATTGGGACAACTAGCGGGTGATATTATCAGCAGAAACTCATTGCGACTGCACTTCATGTAGTGACGCTTTGAGTAACTATTCGACTACAGCCTTTAGAACTGCCATTTTATTTGCATTCATGGGTGCATAACTAGTGAATTGTGAGTGTTCAGTGAGTGGTGAGAGCAAGAGTTAGCAGCGTCCAGCAAGTGGTGAGTGTGAAGTGAATGATATGTCGGTTTTGTGTGTAAGATGAGTTTCAGGTGAGTGGCGATTGTCTGGTAAGGTTCAGCTGAATAGTGATGGTCAGGCGTGTCGTGAGTGTTTAGCAGCGTGGTTAATGTAAGTATTGGTTGAGCGCAAGATGAGTGGTGAGTGGTGTTAGGTGTCTGGAGATACGTCCACTGGTCATTTAATAAAATCTGCATTTTTTAAAATTTTGCACCAATACAAATATACACCACGAGACTAGACATATATGGAGCTCACTGCAGCATTATGAATTCAGAAAACACATCAGATGTATTAGTGATTCCCTGCACCACCCAGGCATTGTCCCACCGCTGGCAGTTCAGTGGGCCACCTCCATCACTCTGCGATGCAAAGCAGAGGACAGACATGCATCCACGTTAACTCTGGGTAAAGCAGAAACTTGATATGGTGGCAGGTGCTGGCAAGGGTAAGTACAAGAGCTTGGAGCATCTTGTATCGGTATCTGGATGAGAACATTTAGCAAGTGTTCTTTTGGACCGTGTTGCTGTGTTTTGCCACACACTACTCTGGTAGCGTGTGCGCTATTCTTCCTTACAGATAATGGAATCGATAATCAATTTGTGGTACTGATATCTCTTGGCCACTTTTTATCGTATCAGGTATGGCAGTGTTTCAAATATCTACGTGATGCACCAACATTCCAGTCCAAAATGCCAGATCGCAGGCGTGTGCCACTGCATCCAGATTAAAAGGCAAACAAAAAGGTTACACTGGTCCAGTGACTGTATACCCCAAACAAAACATTTAGGCGAATTAGCTAATATTCTGTGTTGTCTTTATAATAATAATACCTACATTCTGTATACATTTTAATAAAAAAACACGACGATTACTCAATGTCTTTCTAATAACATAATGACCTAGCAAATTAAAAACCAAGTTAAAGTGACTCCCTGTTCAACCAGCGTTTTTCAGTGTTCACCTCCGCTGGTGACCTTAAGCCAGTGGTAGAGATACGCCATACCTACGGTGGGGGGCAGTATCCCTGTAAAACAGCCACAGTTAAATTACAACAAAGAGGTAGATACTTTACTCATTTTATCAACCAGTTTTAGATAATAGGCCAAGTCAAATACCAACCAGGATGTGATCTTCTGTGTTTGAATAACGACAGAACGTTGGGCACACGCTTACGTTTCCAACGCACACCGTTGTAAGCACTTGAAAAATAAAACATGAATAGCCCATCACTTCCTACCTGCTGTCACCCACCTGATAATAAAGATGCTGCAACGTCTTTATTTGAAATGAATCAAGTATTAATTTGCATATGGATGTGTCTGCTAGTTGTACTTCTCCATTCTGTTTGCCCTAGGAGGTCCCACATGGGCAGCAGATTCTGTATAAAAGCAAAGAGGTCCCAGCAGTGAGACACGGCAGTGGAGCGGATCCACTCGTGATTGAAAAGCTCCAAGTCTTAAAGAAGCTCCAAGTCATCGATCAACCATGCTCGCCTTTCTCGTCTGCGCTGCCCTGCTGGTTGCGGGTGAGTGCTGCTCTTGCTGTCACCTTGAGCTGCTGATTGATTGCAATGTACGCATTTGATTAAGTGGAGCAACCGTTCTGGCTTCTTCAGAAACTGGACGTAGTTCTATCGGAAGCTTATGGTACGTGGATTAAAACATTTGAGATAATGCCGAACAGCACAAAATAACATTAATCTCTCTGATAGTAAACAGAGATTCATATATGTGTGTGTGTGTGCGTGCTTTTGTGCGGTAGGGCGAGCGGTAGGGTAGCGGTTAGCCCGCTGCGCTATGAACCCGGCCGGCCCGAATTCGATTCCCGCTCTTGGCCAACACCAGTGACGATTATCTGAACCGGTTCTGGGCCTCATCTAGGTCGACTCAGCCTCAAATGAGTACCTTGCCACTAGGGAAACAAAGGCGGCCGGGCGTGGTGTTGGCCACCCACCTCTTCATGTGCCGTGCAGGCCTTTATAGGTGCTCACTAACAGAACTTGCTCCAACAATCTGTTCAGGCTATACGGGGGATCTTTGTCTTAGTGTGCTTTTGTATGTGTGCTATTAGTTTAGTGTACGATTGTGTGTGTGTGCTATTATTCCATATAGCTGAGGTGTCTGCTCAGAGCTGTGGCATCGCAGCGTATCCCCAGATCCGGGTGGTGAACGGCGTGGAGGCTCGTGCCAACTCCTGGCCTTGGCAGGTAACGGGAGAGGCTGAATAACAGCCATCACAGCCACACTCTGCATTGTCAGTCGATCTCAGTGCAGCAGCATCCATTGTTGTACATGCCACGTGGAGGCCCTCATCCAGCAGTGGATTGATAAAATGACTATATAATGGGAGAGTGGAAGCACAGTGGTTTACGCATTTCACTATGAACCAGGCTACATGAGTTACACTACCAGCGACTGCTAACATCAGTGGCGAGTAAATCCGAACCAGTCCCGAATTCCATCCTTTCATAACCAGCACTGACGAGTATTGAGGCATGGTCATACCGACAGTGGATTGACAAACAGGCTAAGATAAGACTGTATTACTAGATATAGAATTTGTAATTAATCCTGGAAAAATGACAGTAACTACCACCACTTTGCTGTGTGTGCATTGCAGGCGCTCGTGCAGAGGTACTCTGGAGGAAGATGGGTCAACTACTGTGGAGGAACCCTCATTGATAGTCAATGGGTGCTCACCTCTGCGAGCTGCTTCACGTGAGTCACGGCATCAGTGGCGTCGCTGTTGTGTGTACAGGCGGTGCAACTGCACCGGGGCTCAAGTGCTGTACAGTATTTTCCTGTACCACATTGCGGCCACCAAGTTTGGAGCAGTGGATCTTCGGAGTAAGGAAGCGGCCTCTATAAATGACCTTTACACGATGCCGCAATGTGCCAGTGAAAATACCATGCTGTAACTCGCACTATTTCTGTTTAGTAACTCCTCACTGCAATGTTTACAGGTGTAAGTGATTAAGACCGTCTGTCGCTCTGTTACCTCCCCACATCTACCACAACGTGCAGGAGTGGCTACAGCTACAGGGTGGTGCTGGGAAAGCACAGTGTGTCCACATCCGAGTTCGGGGAGGTCACCCCTCCATTGAGCCTGGCCGTCTGGCATAGCTACTGGAATCCCAGCATCCCGGCGAATGGGTGAGAATGCACATGGGCGACGTGACACCGTGACATTCAGAGTTGCTATAGACAGATATACATACATTCAGAGAGACATGCATATGATACATTCAGACGGACAAGAAATAAATCAAATATTTTTTACTCACAAAGTTATTCATTGACACTGCCTTGAAGTGCAAAAAATATCCAATTTTAATATAACTTGAATTTTGGCGACCTATTGCCGCCTTTTTCTACAAATGAAATCTAAACTCAATTTAATGTAGGGTGTATAGGCATAAATGCCTCCAAAATGAATGTATATATTTTTTGGGGGGGAGTGAAAATAATTTGGGGGGGTCGACAATTGTTGTAAACTTGTTGGATCAACTTTTTACCCCCACATCTGGGGGGGGGGGGGTTCACTTTCTCTATCTCTTTGATTCAGCCTCCTTCTGAAAGGCTCTAATAATTTAGTTGACAGACAAACAAACGAACACATGGAACGCTGGGCTTTTATAATAGGTATTTCTGGGAATGGTCATTTTTCAACTATAGAATTTTATGATAGAAGGCAGTAATAATGACAAGGCGATTCGTTGTCTTGATTCTACTCGTACACTGCTTTGAGCCAATGCTTTCTTTGACAAAGAGACAGATGCTACACAATGCTATTGCTTCATCTCATACAATCCTTCCAATAATCCAATAACTGGAATATACAGAACTCCTCATATCCATGACAAGCTTACCCATCTGTGGGAGATGTAGCGATCACAAAATCTCCTATTATCCATGGTCCTATTATTCGTTATTCATGATTTATTCCCCACGAATAAGTGGAGCTAAAATCGCAGATAATCGCTTCTGCGATGATAATCCCCAACATCACCAAAGATGAGGAGTTCTCCTGTGCACAGAGCTGAACCCCCATTGCTTGTTGTATGTTCAGCGTCGCATCACGGCTGCCACTGTCTCAATCCCCCACAGGTACGACATCGCCATGTTCAAGATTGCATCGCCCGTGGCTCTCTCCAGCAAGGTGCGCCTCGCCTGCCTGCCCAGCGCCAACCAGATCCTGCCCAACAACTATCCGTGCTACGCCACGGGCTGGGGATCCCTCGACAGTGAGTACCGTTCACTCAGTGTCCATTAAACACAAGAGGAGGCAGAGTTATGGGCAGTGCAATTCAGCCCAACGTGTCAATTTCCACTGCAGATTAACGAGATGAAGATGGCTGAGAAACTGTCACAAGTCCCATTCTAGGGTTGACTCAGCCCTTCATCTTTCTGGGGATGAAAAAATGAACACAACTCTGCATCGTCAAGAGTGGGAAATAACCTGCCAGTAGGGTGGCGGTGTTGCTTATGTGGCCTTTCCCTTCTGAGCATAGAGACACCGACGGTTCGCGTGGGGAGCACCTGTTAACGCCACCTAACTCCGATGTTTTCAACAACGCTCTCCGTCTCCACATTGTCTGTGCGCGTGAGCAGCCAGCGGCCCCTTCCCCAGCGCCCTGCAGCAGGCCAGCCTGCCCGTGGTCGACTACGCGACGTGCAGCCAGCCCAGCTGGTGGGGGAGCAGCCTGAGGAGCAGCGTGATCTGCGCGGGGGGCAGCACCCGCTCTGCGTGCTATGTGCGTACGGAGCGCAACGCGAGCCAACCCGCGTCAATTCCTTAATGAAAATTACTGATGAGAATAGTTGTCAACAAAATGTTTCCTTTAAATCTTAATTTAGTCAACAGTGACTGTGAGTGGACAACAATCACCAAGCATGGTGATGACTGTGACCACTGACATTACTGACTGGCTCACCTGTTAATGTTCGGAGGAACGAAAGGGGCGTACATTCACACCAATAATTAATAACTCGAGTCGACAAATATTGTGACTGCTTTAATCGCCTCGAATAAGAGGATGACTAAATTAAATCTACGGACACTGAGATTTTACTCAAATCCCCACAGACTAAGTTAATGCATGACTGTTTTAACTCAAGGAATAACAAAAAAAATATAAATGTTGACTTGTCATATTTGGTAGCCAGACACTGCCACGTGTGTCTAGCTGCCAGAGTCGTATGGGGCAAGACACAGAAAGGCGTTTTGGGCGATGGGAGGGATCAGGCCTTGGGGTTGTGCGATATAAATCCGTTATTTAGTAACACCGTCCGAAAGCACACTTGCAACGTTTGCTCATCCAGACACCGATGCAAGAGGTCCAATCTCCTGTACTCAACCTTGCCAGCACCCGCCACCACATCCCGTTGCTGCTTTACCCAGTTAACGTGGATGGATGTCTATCCTCTTTTATGCATCACAGGGTGATGGAGGTGGCCCACTGAACTGCCAGCGGTCGGACAATGCCTGGGTGGTGCATGGAATCGCCAGCTACATATCATCTCTGGGCTGCAACACGTTTCGCAAGCCCACCGTGTTCACCCGTGTGTCAGCCTACAACAGCTGGATCAGCGCTGTGAGTGCCGATGATGTCAATGTCAATGTTATTACCATGATCTTGCTGTCAATGTCAATATTTATGATATTAATGTAGCGATGGCATTGTCACTTACAACCTTCTAATTAATCAGGGAAACGTAATACGCATGGGGCATATGTGGAGGATTGAAATGGACATGTTACCAAGACAAGCATTGACAGTGGAACCAAGTGGTCAAAAACTAAATGGAAACATTGAAACCACAAGATTGGTCATGTGTTGAGTGCAACTAGAAGAAATGGCACGGTGTGATGACCTTTTAATCAATCATAAAGCAAAGGTGGCATGAGTAATCAGTGTGGCTAGTTTCGGCCAAGGTATGATTGCCATCATGTTCGTTATCTGGAGGTACTGACTTTCAAACACCACCCATTTTCCGTTTCTCCTGCAGGTCATGAGCGTGTACCGTGAAGCCCCGAAGCTCGCAGAGGGAGAGCAGAGCGTCAACAGTGGAGTCAATGCCACAATTGCCGCATTCAAGAAGCCACAGGCTTAAAGCTTCACGCTCTTTACATCAATGCTACCACTAACCCTACAATTACATTTTCTTGTTACGGGTATTCCCTGTTTCAATGTGAGACTGAGCATGTGAGCATATAATGGGTGGTTCGATTAACTGAGTTTGTTTGGCCATGCTAGACATGTTACCAGTGTTAATGATAACACAATTTGGCATTTAGATCAGATGTGGAATAAGTCGTTATTTTGAAATGTTTTGGCAATACCAACATGAAAACTTTACATCCAGCATTGAATATACATCTTTTAAATTGAACGTCCACCATAACACTGTCCTTTCCATACCAAGTTAAAATCTTCTATTTTTGTATAGACACTGTTAAAAAAATATTGCATATACAATACCAATCGACTGATTATCAATGCTAAATTTGAACAAGCCACTAAATTCACAAAGTATGTATTCCCAAGCAACAGTTGGAGCTGCAAGCTCACCGGACCATTGGACCACCTTTAAATGGATTGTTTGCTTCACATGTACAGTCCCTACATATCCAGTGTATTGAATTCACTTGAAATTAATGTCATTTAATTTTCAATATATAGGTCAAGGTAAGGTAGTATGTGCAATTTCTTTAAATATCGATTGAGTCAGGATTGGATCATATCATGGTGTATTGTGGGAAGAGAGTTGATTGAGGGTCATACAGCATTGTAAAGATAATGTATTTTTCAATGATTAATGTCTTTGATGTATTTTGTTAATTTGTCATACTGCAGTGAGCTCTATGTATTACTAAACTCATGGTGTAAAATAAAAATGCCAAAAAATCTGATTGAATGAAATGACTAGTGGACTGCTGTATGTATTGTGTTGTGAAAAAAGCATGTAATAAAAGAAAAAAACATGAAAAATACGGAATTTTTCAAATTAGGCTAAAATAATGAAATGTGTGTGCAATTAATGGTAATTGATGTTAATTGGGTGTAAGGGTAACGTGATTAATCATGTGTGATAAAATGTGTGTAAAATGTTACGTGAAAATGTATGTGTATAAATACACATGCGCGACCCGCATCTCGGCGGTTTCCCGCGTTGGCACAAAAATGGTGGCCGCAGCCCTCCCTTGAAGGCCAACCCAGACATCTCATGCCACTCCGTAGCACCCCCGCCTTTCTAACGCGAACGCGTCGGCCGTATCGGGGGAATTATAATCCAGTCTCTCTCCAAGACTCGCATCGCAGCATATCGCTGTACCGACCGAGCTGAGAAGACACAAGAACACCTCTCTCCAGGACACGTATTGCAGCAATCAGCTGTACCAACAGAGCCAAGAGGACACACCAACCCCTCTCTCCAAGCCTCGCATTGCAGCATTTAGCTGTACCAACCGAGTTGAGAGAGCAACTCACTACAAGCTCCCTGAGCCTCTGCCTCACTGTCTCAGACGCGCCTCGGAGTGTCTCGATCTCCGGGCCGTCGGGTCAAGCCGCCAGCCACAGCATGGCCGGACCACACTCGTGTAAACACGCAACAATGACAGGGGGGAATTCTGGTCAGGATATTTGCCCCAGATAAGCCACAGCCGCAGCACAATCCAAATCACTGGCACCATATGTCACCATCACATTTTAACGATCCGTACCAAGGATCACAACAATGTACCTCACAACCCATATCCGTGCAGAGAGACAGTCTTTGCAGTACGTACAGTCTGCACATCGCGATCTCGAGAAAAGCCCCAAACAATCAACACATCGTTGACCTGGTCAAGGCCTGGGCTCTGGGTTGTTCTTCGTGCTTTTGGAGTCCCTGACCCGCTGCTCACGATCATTAAGGACCTTCATGATGGTGAGCGGGCCCGGGTAAAACTACATAGCCGGGAATCAGAGCCATTCCCTGTACACCTTGGGGTGCGACAGGGATGTCCTCTGGCTCCCACATTATTTAACATCTATTTTGACCATGTAGTTCGTGAAGCCTTCAATAGCTGTACCGGGGGAATCTCCATTTGGTACAGATATAATGGGAGGCTGATCGATGCCCGGGTGCGGCTCCCTATTGCTTAATCACGTTATGTATGCCAATGATATTGGTAATAGCTGCTCATTGAGAGGAGGAGTTAGAGACGCTGCTGCTGAGACTGGAGCATGCCACTAACAGATGGGGTCTTACCATCAGCCCC